TGCTCTTCAAGACCATCCATGTTGCTGCAAATGGCAAAAATTTTTTGTGTGTGTGGCTGAGTAGTATTCTATTGTGTATATATACATATACACCACATCTTCTTTATCCGTTCGTCTGTGGATGGACACTTAGATTCCTTCTGTGTCTTGGATTTTTAAATCTCCCTATGTGATGCTGTTGCTTTTGGAGCTTAAGTAGTATCATGAGACATGTATGAGAATGTCTGTCATACTGGCCATGCTCACAGAACCCATGAGACCAAGTGTGCATACATCAGGGGACTGAAGCACATCTCTCCTGTCTCTAGGAGAAGAAATAAGGGGATCTGGTGCTCAATGGGGGAGAATTGGTATTTACATTAGATTTAGATGCAGCCCCTGTCAGTTCTTCCTAGATTGGGACACTGAAGGTTAAAGTTTGGTTTGGGTAACAGGAGAACATCCTAAAATCTTGGTAAGCTGACTTCTGTGACTTTTTAGAATGACCTAGAGCTACAATGTAGAGGTTGATGGGAGTAGAATGGAGAACAGCCTTCCACAGGGAGAATGGCAGCCTTCCACAGGGAGAATGGCCATTAAAAGTGGCCCTGCCCTTTTAAATTGAGAGTGGGAATAGCAATTACCATTCTGATGTGTGGGGCCCCTGAGGGGAATCCATTGGTCCTGCATTGCCAGTGGAGCTGCTGCCAAGGCTCATTAGGTCTGTGCTGGAGCTGTTTTTGGAGCTCTTGTCAGCTTCCTCCCAGTAGTGTCCCTCACAGTCACAATTAGTCCCAGGTGACTTACTGGAGCCCAAGGAATTTGAGTATTATCTGTTCTATATGGTCCATCCTTTTATTGGAAAAGAAAACTCTTTAGCTCAACTTAGACATAAATAGTAGCAGAGATGTTTATTTTGTCAGACACTGACTAATATTTGATAGGCATCAATGTCATGTGGATGTGTGGGTTTAGAAGATATAGAAACAGAATTGATGTGATCTGTTAAAGATTTTGGATTAGGGATGTGAGGGATATGAAACATGACTGGCGAACTCTTCTTATTCTAAGTATCATAGCAAAAGTATATAGTAAAATAATTCTGCTTTGCGGAAACAAGAGGCTTGGATATGATATTTTTCAACAGACTTCTCCCAGGTTTGGAACTGACACAAAGCGATGAAGACACTGAAGGAAGAAACCCAGAATTATGAAGCCTTTAGTTAGGTATTAGTGTTGACAAACAGATGTGGGAGTGTTAGCACATTACATTTTCAGATCGGAAAAGATAAATTGCTTTAAAGTCTCCCGTCTCAATTATTTGCAAAGGGTTTGATGCTCATGATACTATGCTTTTCCTCTTGAAAACAGATAAATTAAAATGTAAGGCAATTAATGGTTTATACAAAGACCTTCAGTACTTAGGAAGTGAATTGGAGTTAGGATCTAGGTCTCCTAACCCTCATCCTAGGGTTGATTCCTCCAGAACTGACTGCAGAGACTGCACTGTGGTGACTTGCCTGACAGAGGGAACTTTACTGAAAAAGAGAACCTTAGTCTTAGCAACAGGGGACAAGACATATAAAGAAGGCGAGAATTCCCATGATGAAACCATAAAGAAAATATTTCACCCAAAGTCAATGTTAGGTTGCACATGTTTGAGAAGCTGAATTTAAAACATTGGACTTGATTAAGTGGAAACTCGGGTAACCATGTCAGGCTTAAGAGGTTAGCCTAAAGAGAAAACAATTAAGTGATCTTGTAGCGTGTCAGACCCATTCTTGAGATATCAACCACCCAAAGGGCCCTGGGATCTCTGTTTCCATACATCAAGATGGTGCAGACATTTCTTCTCAAGATGGATACACTCAATGTCTACATCAACCAACTCTCGAGTCACAAGTCAGAAAACTCTTTCTGTAAATGAAGGTGCCGTTCTAGGGACAGCTCAGCTTTATAAAGGTATGACTTCTTTTAGTCAGCATGAAAGGAACACATCTGCAGGTATACAAGTATGTGGGACCCACAGTTGAGAGTTCTGCTTCTGTCCTCAGGACTTTACCTTGTCCTGTCCAGGATTGTTTAGAATCCCATAGCTTCTGTTTAGAATCAAATAGGTTTAAGCTTAAATGGGCAGTTTTTCCTTATTTAAGCAAAAAATCATAACTGACTAAATTAAACTAGTTAGTTGTATTAAGTTACATAAAATAGGTTGTATTAAGAATCTTAAAACTCATTTTCTGTTTCCATTTTTTGTCATAGAGTGAAGGCATTTTGGTTCTATTTGTTGTGTTAATAACTGGACTAATGGGAGAAGGTACATGGAGATAATTTTAATTATGGTCACCAAAGGTTATATTTTAACAATGAATAATTGGTCTTTGCTCTCCAAACCTCATATCTGATTTTTCCTTTAATTTCTCTGTCATTCCTTATCCCTCCCCCGACTTCTAAGGGTCTCAGTTTTCTACTCTTTCATGACCTCTTTTAAAGGAGTACAATAAATTCAATTAATTCATATTTTAAAATCTCATCTAGAATAATTATGTCTAAACTTTTCACAAAGAAGACACTCAATATAAAAGGAATAAATACAGATGCTGTATCTATTTTCTTAATCTACTGGGTGTCTAAGAAAGGACTCTATGACTATAGGAACCAGGAAAATTTGGTTATCATTGTATTAAAATTTAAGTAATCTTAAAAACAAGACAATGGATTTTAGAAATAAACACAACTCTTTGATGGGTTAAATGTAATTTGCCAACTTATCCATAAGTGTTTAAGTATTCAGTTCAGTTCAGTCGCTCAGTTATGTCTGACTCTTTGCGACCCATGAATCGTTTAAGTATTAGTAGTTTTAATAATAGAATGCTTTGCTCTAAAACATGCACAGGATATTGAATGCTACAATTAGTGTAAAATATAATGATTCTCCTACTCAGGATGTTTTAATTCTGTAAGCAATTACATATCAGAAGATCTGTTAGCTATTTAAGGCTATGATTAAATTTGCAATTTAGAATGATCAATCTGGTGAAAGAGTATCGGCTGCTTTCCAGTAGGCACAGGCTGAATCAGAGAGGTTCAAAAGGAATTTGTTGACGCTTGAGCAACACAACTTTGCATTGCGTGGGTCTCCTTTTATGCAGATTTTTTCAGATAAATACTACAGTACAGTAAATGGTACAGTACTGCACCATGAGAGTATGGTTGAGTCTGCTGATGTGGAGGAAATGGGAATGCAGAGGGCTGTCTGTAAATTACACTTGGATAGTGAACTGCACCAGGGCTGGTCACCTGTAACCTCCTCATTCTTCAAGGGTCAATTGTAGCTTCAAAGCAGGGACTGTTAGGCTTTAAAAGTCACACTTTCCCTCAGATGTGATGCTGCTCTTCATTTGTAATCATGTGAGGGCTGTAGTAGAGAGATGTGCTGGTGAGTAAGGGGAGCGCAGGGAGACTTGGGCTGCATGCTCTCCAGGCAGCTTGTACAGCGCAAATGGGAACAGATAATGTACTCCGCTGTTGTCTACTACCTCCCAGAGTTTGTTCAAACTCGTGTCATTGAGTCGGTGATGCTATCTAACCGTGTCATCCTCTGCCAGCCCATTCCCCCATTGCCTTAAATCCTTCCCAGCATCAGGGTCTTTTTCAGTGAATCAGCGCTTCACATCAGGTGACCAAAGTATTGGAGCTTCAGCTTCAACATCAGTTCTTCCAGTGAATATTCAGAGTTGATTTCCTTGCTCAGGAGTCTTCTCTAACATTACAATTTGAACAGAGGGGAAGGGTAGTATTCACAATTGAAATTCCAACATCCAGGGAAGATGTCACTTCATCCATGTTTGTGAAATCATTCAAAAACAAAATATCTACTTATTATGCAGATCTGCTAAATACTCAACAAAAGCTAAGATTTGTTTTCCTGTTTTAATACTAGAAAGCTTAAGTGATTACTTTCATACTATCAGTTTTACTGAGATCATATATACATGCTGGATCATATATACAGGCTATGCATATTCCTATTCATATGTATAGGAAAATTAAAAAAGCAAGTCAGAATGAGTAAAAAAATAGGGCAGAAAAATAAAAAGAACAAGATAAAATTGCCCTCTTCTCCTTCTAAAGATAGAAGACACCAAATCTCAAAGAGACTCATAATTTCCTGGAGCTTCAAAGCATTCAAGCCAACTTCTTAGACTTCAAATCTATTCAAGGTTTTGCTTCGTGTACTGTAATGTCTGAAACTGTGGAGGGAATATGAGGAAAGCACATTTGTTCTCTGTCTCTCACAGGGTACATTCATGTTATACGTGGTAGTGTGCTACTACTGAAATACGATGACAAGTAAGTTTGTAAAATACTTTCCCCATGTTGTCTACACTTGAGCATACATACACTTTTAAGTTTTGCAGCATTATCAAATTTTGTATGCAAAAGTTAAAATTTCTAACCCAATCAAACATCTAGTAAGTCATAAAGAAAGATTTACATTCAGGTTCTCAAATTCCAGATTTTTCTATCATTTGCCAGTCTTACTTGTTATATATCTGCCTCTTACAAACCCTTTTAAAATATTTTATTTATACATTTTACCATATTTTGTGTAGTAGGTACATAGAAGGAAGTCTGTGAACTTCAGACTATGTTTACCTTCATTGTTCATCATTTTACTTCCCGTTGTCATCTGCACTTCTCCCCTCTCTGGAAATTGCAGTAACTTAGAAAGACACAGAGCTTCCAAAAATTGCTCGGCATTAATTCCAAGGCTTTAACTGACTCTATGAGATCACATCATGTCCAAAGGAAAGTGCTAACCTGTCTCTCATGTAGAGTAGATATAATACATAGTAGAATCAGGCTTGTCTTCTTGATCCATAAATGATCTAGACTATCGGGTCAAGGTTGGCCAATCATGTTAAGCATTCTTCTAAAAAGTTATTCTTATGAGTCTTTAATTCAACAGCATCTGTTATTTCTGACTCTCTCTGCAGATTAATAATCCTCTGTTTTATATGGGAGCAGATAACCAGACTTGGGTGAGAGAATTCGTTCTCCTCGGCCTGTCCAGTGACTGGGACACTCAGGTGGGTCTCTTCATCCTGTTCTCAGTCACTTACCTGCTGACCCTGCTGGGGAACGTCCTCATTGTCCTTCTGATCAGACTGGACGGCCGACTCCACACTCCCATGTATTTCTTCCTCAGCAACCTCTCCCTCATGGATGTCTCCTACGCCACGAGCATCGTTCCTCAGATGCTGGCGCACTTCCTTGCGGAACATAAAGGGGTCCCCTATGTGAGCTGTGCGGCTCAGTTATTCTTCTCCCTGGGCCTGGGGGGGACTGAGTTTGTTCTCCTGGCCGTGATGGCCTATGACCACTATGTGGCTGTGTGCGACCCCCTGAGATACCCGGTCATCATGCACGGAGGGCTCTGTGCTAGGCTGGCCGTCACATCCTGGCTCAGTGGCTCTGTCAACTCGCTCGTGCAGACCACCATCACCTTTCAGTTGCTCATGTGCGTGAACAAGTATATTGATCACATATCCTGTGAAATCCTAGCTGTGGTCAGGCTGGCCTGTGTGGACACCTCCTCTAATGAGGTGGCCATCATGGTTTCTAGTATTATGTTGCTGATGACACCTTTCTGCCTGGTTCTCTTGTCCTACATAAGGATCGTCTCCACCATCCTAAAGATCCAGTCCACAGAGGGGAGAAGGAAAGCCTTCCACACCTGCGCCTCTCACCTCACAGTGGTTGTCCTGTGCTATGGCATGACCATTTTCACTTACATCCAGCCCAATTCCAGCCCTTCTGTGCTTCAGGAGAAGCTGATCTCTGTCTTCTATGCCATTTTGATGCCTGTACTGAACCCCATGATTTACAGTCTAAGGAATAAGGAGGTGAAAGGGGCCTGGCAGAAGCTTCTAGGACAATTATCTGTATTAACGTCAAAAGTGGCGACTTGATAAATCATGAGCATCACTTAGACAAAAGAGCTTTGCCTGTGTGTTCTCCCACTTAACTCTGATATGAAGCTTTAACTTCATTGCCCTGGCAACCAGGAATTGGTGATGCTGGGTAGAGACTAATTAGTTGGGTTAGAGTGTGGGACATGGGCATATCTCTATGTCATGGCAGCAAGTTTAGAGAAATAAAGCACTACTGTGATAGAACTGCTCAGTCTCCATTCATATGACCCTAGAATAATGAAAAAAATACCATGTTTTGCTTTATCATTTTGTTTGTAATTACAGGCCTATTTATGGATCTTACTTTGGACTATTTGATCTTTTTTTAAAAATTTAGAAATATGTGCTTTGACTTTGCATAACTCTTTTTTAAAAACCAGGTGACCCACTCAAATGACTAAAATTAAGAATACAGGTAGTGCTGAGTTCTGGTACAGATATGGAGCAGCGTGAACTCATTGCTGTTAAGAGTATAAAGTGGCAATTTCTGTTAAGGGTATCAAGTGGCAATTCTTTATAAAATTAACCATATGATTACCACATGACCCAGCAATTTTCTTCTTAGGAATCTTCCCAAGAGAAATGAAAATTGTCTACAAAATGACTTGTGTATAAATGTTCATAGTATTTTTGCTCATAATATCACTGGTCCTTATTAATCCAAAATTTTTTTACAGCTTTATTGTGTTTTCATTGGGAAAAAAGCATTTTTACCTTTTAGACTCACTAAAACTAATGTGTGGGATATATATTCATCTCCAGTAATTATATGAATTACTATTCTGAGGAGAGTGCTGATTAAAAATGTTTTTGAGCTTGACCTTTGAGATCTGGAGATAAAACTCAACCTTTGGGTCCCAGAGGTGACTCAGAAGTAAAGGTCTTGTTTTACCTGGATAGAATATGACTAAAGGTGATTATACAGATGGCTAGGATTGGCCCAGGAACAGCTACATTTCAAACTCTTTCTGATAGTAATATGAACTGAGAGTAATTTAACCTCACAGTTTATGAAGAATTTGACAGGGTACCATTTAAATGTTAAAACTCTCCAACCTCTGAAAAATATATTAGCTCTTTTCCTAGGCTTTAGACACAAAATAGGCACTTCAAATTTGAAACAATGTATAAAATTTCTAAGATGTATTTAATCTAATTAAGAAAGATTCCTCATCGAATACTGATGTAAAATAAGACAGACTTAATTCCTTGAACCAAGATGGTTGAGTCAGCTGTGCAGATGTCAGCTACCAGTCCCCATAAAAACACCTTCTTCCATCCTTCCTCCTCCATACAACAGGGCCCTAGATCATCTTTGTAAATCTGCTGAGCTGAATTAGTTTAGAGTAGACCTCACCTCTGAGAGAAAGCCTAAATAAAAGAGGGGAAAGTAGTAATTGTACAAGAAATAGAGGGAAAGGGGGAGAAAGAATATGATAGCAGCTCATCTTCATACTCCCTTGAAGACTTCTCAAAGTTCTTTCTTCCATTGTCTCTTCTTTGAGTCAGCTGATGTGCAGTTCTTCTACTTGTGAACACACAATCTCAGTGTTCAAACAGAGTTGATATTTAATTGTACCTTAAAAAGAGAAAGAGTCCAAGTGGAGACCAGAATAGTAAGGGAAAGTTACCCAGATGACAACCATCCAAATAAAGGTGCAGACAGCCTGGGAAAGGTGCAGAGCTGGGAGAACATGGAAGTTCAGAAATGTCCTAAAGCCTCACTTGCAGCGCAGAGAAGATAGAAGATGGAGGCAGTAGTGAGGGTGAAGCAGGCAGGTAGGAAGTGTCAGGGTACAGAGAACACTGATGCAAAATTATCTTTCAACTTCATCTGAGACCAGTGGGGAGCTAGCAGAAGAAAATTAGTGAAAAATACAAGTATACACATGTCAATTATACACACGATGCTTTAAGAAGGAGAATTTCTGTGCCTGGCTGTCTCTTCTGCAGTCTTCATCTCACGACTCCTTTGCCTTCACCAGCCTCCACTTTGCTTGTCACCCCTTCTCCCAGCTTCAAGGTCAGCAGCACAGTAAACCCCTCTCTGAGTCTGATCCTCTGCCTCCATTTTCTTCCCCACCCCCCCATATGCCTTAAGCACAGTTTGTGTGCTGTGCTTAGTCGCTTAGTCGTGTCCAACTCTTTGCAACCGCAAGGGCTATAGCCTGCCAGGCTCCTCCATCCATGGGGATTCTCCAGGCAAGAATACTGAACTGGGTTGCCATGTCCTCTTCCAGGGGATTTTCCCAACCCAGGGCTTGAACACACACAGTTTACCATATTTTTATTTGTATGTATTTTAGAAACTTTATTTTTTAATTATTTATTTTCAATTGGAGGATAATTGCTTTACAATATTGTGTTTGTTTCTGCCATACATCAGCATGAATCAACCATAGGTATACATATGTCCCTTCCCCCATGGACGCCCCCCCACCCTATCCCACCCCTCTAGGTTCTGCCTCCATTTCATATCTCTTTCTACTGTCTTTGTTCCCATCACTGTGCTCTCTTAAAGATCCATCTTACTGCATGGGACCCCTAAGATTATCCAGAATAGTCTCCATGTTAAGATCCTTATTTTAAAACATGTGCAAGTAACTTTTAACATAAAAGGCAGCATATTCACACATTCTGAGAATCAGGGCAAAGACATCTTCAGGAGGTCGGGCATTACTTAGCTTATCACATAACCTATTCAGGTTGGACACTTAGTTTTTCCCCATGACCCCAGTAATCTTCAATAGCTGTCTTACTTTTTGATGTGATACAATATACAATCCTATCTTTTAGATTTCCTGCTTTATAATGGGAATTATTTCTTCAAGAAGCCATTATCATTTCTTGAAATCTAGGTCTGCTGGAAAATACTCATTTAGGTTTGTTTATTTGAAAATGTCTTTGTTTCTCCTTCATTCTCAAAAGATATTTTCTCTACACAAAGAATTCTTTGACAACAGCCTCCCCTACTCACCACCACTACCTCAGACTTTAACTTTATCCCTCCTTGTCTTCTATTTTGCATAGTTTCTGAGAAGAAGTCTACTTTCAGTTCTACTTCTGTATGTGATGTAACTTTATTTCAGGCTCCCTTCTAGATCTTTACTTTATTTTTACCTTTTAGATAGAATATCATATGTCCACATTTTGTTTTTCCTTATTTTGATGAATTTCTTGGTTTTATGCTTTCAATTTCTTTCACTATTTTTTTGGTCACTATATCTTCAAGTATTTCTTGTATTCCTTCTATCTCTGTTTTTCTGTTGAGATTTTCCAATTCACATATGTTAGCTTGTTTGGTATTGTCCTGGAAGAGCCTTTTCTCTTTTTATCATTATAATTTCTTTCTCTTTTTGCTTAAGTTTTGCTGATTTCTATCGGTTCATCTTTTTTCTTACTGATCAGTTTTTGATTCTCTTGCGTCTACTCATAAGCAATCGTTAGTTCTTTGACTATGTCCTTCCCACCTAGCATTTCAACTTAATTTCTCTGTGTAGTTTTCAGTTTGATATTGAAATTTCTCAAGAATTTATGACAATGTTTATCTTTTCTTTTAGACCTTTTAATTTATTTATGAGTCTTATTTTAAACCCCTGTGTGATAATTCCTGTAATCCAAAAATATCTGATTTTCTTCTGTTAACCTTTTATTCAGTGATATTTACATTTTTTTTGCCTTTTCCTCTGACCTTTAGTTTAGATTTACAGCTTATGTTTTTCACATAGTATAATAGACACTAACATAAATAGTATAATGCCTTGAAATGGAGACATTTCTTCAGTTTGACCCGTGTTTTGTAGATAGTATGAGAATGAACACAGTCATGGGATGAGCCGGGTTTGAGTTTTGTGTTTCTGTGGTGGTTGGTGGTTGGAGAGTTCCTTCTGCTCACTGCGGTGGCTGCAGTTGCCTTCTTTTAGACCTGCGCCAGGTAGAAGGCTTTCTCTGGTTTTTCACTTTCCTGAAAACGTTCTTACAAGGATTTTCCTAAATCTGTGGAGAAAACACTGAGAATTGGTGGGAACTCCTCTTTTTGCCATAGCTCTCAGCCATTCTATACTCACCACATCCCACGCTTGAAGTTGAGCAATTTGTTGAATCAATTTTCACTCACTAGTTTGGGGACCTATTTTCCTCCCATACAGTGATACATGTAAGTCAGAGCTCCCATTCTATCTTTTTCTGGATGCACTTATCCTTCTTGAGATTTATGCTATTTGGCTGCCCTGCAGTTTCAGTTAACCAATGATTTCACGGGAAGTTATGATTTTGTAGTTCACTGAAACTTTTCTTGTTTTAAGATCGAACCAATGCTCTTTCTAGCTTTCTGCAACCTAAGTGGAAGCTAGAACAATCTCAACTAATTAATTTGTTTCTTTTACAGCAGTTTTAAATTCACAGCAAAGTTAGGCAGAAAGTACAAAAAATTCCCACATATGCCCTCCACCCCTCAATACACACACAACCTTCCTGGTATAACCAATTTGCATCAGATTGGTATATTTTTATTTTACTTTATTGCTTAAAAAATTGGTGATTAACTTATCTTTAAAACTGAGGCATAATTGACATACAGCATCATATTAATTTCAGTTGTACAGTGTAGTGATTCAGTGTATATATTGCAAAATGATCACCACAATAAGTGCAGTTACCATCCATCACCATAGATAGTTACTAACTTTTTTTTCTTGATTGAGTTATGGGTATCAAACTATCCTTGAATTCCTGAGATGATCATGGTACATGACTCATTTTAATATACTCATGTATTTCTTTCTCAGCAACCTCTCTGTTGCTGATGTCTCTATACCACAATTGTTGTTCCTCAGATGCTGGTACATTTTCTTGCAGAACATCAAGTAATTCCACATAGGAGCTGTGCAGCCCAGTTATTTTCCTTGCTAGGTTTGGGTAAGTTTGGGATTTTTCCTCTGTCAGTGATGGCCTGTGATAACTATGTGGCAGTGTGTGATTCCAAGTTACTGATGAAG